TGTGAAAATTTAAAATTCACGACGTGAGGTAGTATAATTCACGACGTGAGGTCGCGTTTAAGCGAATTCTGGAAAATCTTCAATAACTGACTCACGACGTGAATATGATACATTCACATAGTGGGAACTGGAATCTCAGAAATAAATTTCCTCCAATTCTCCTTTCAATTCTTGCACTCAACCCAATGTCTTAATGGATTAAGACTCATCTAACTCTATTATTTTTGACTCTTTTCTCTAACTCTATCTTCTCTCTTGACTCACCCCACACTTATTTTGGATTGTGGGTCTCGACTCTCGACTCTAAACTCTCGGCTAAACATGTTCGCACTCATATCTCGACATCCTTTCCCGCGTTTCTCTAGCGAAATCTGAGAATAATAACCACAGAAGTAAACAAGAACATAACCAATTTTAAAATTCTTACAATCCCAAACAAACCAAAAACAAAATAAAACCAAATAAAAATAAAACTAAATAAACTAAAAGATAATCTAATCATCTTCTTCATCAATGTTCGCTCCACTCGTTCTGACCCCGTCTCCTCTCGTCATCCATAGCTCCTCCCACGTAGGAATATAAGGGAATTGGGGAGGCACCGTGGGTGGTCTCACCACATTCATGTGGGAGAACATGGCTTCAAGTATTTGGGTATTGTACGTCACCCCACCACGAAGATTATCTAAATATGAACCCACCCGACTTTGGAACGGGTCGGTGGGTACTCCACCCTCATATTGTTGAGTGGGTTGTTGTGTTCTTCCCATATCTCCCCGGCCTCTCACGTTCTGTCTCCTGTGACTTGGTTGTTGCTCGGGCTCCTCGGGTGGTTGTTGAGCACCCTCATCGTCACTGTTCGGTATGCCCCAATGTGACCCAGAATTGACCACAACTCTGATGGTCTCAAGATATCCAATAGAAAACTCATTCCCTTCTTTATAAGTGAGTGTCCTTTTAATGGACGGGATGATCACACCATAAGAATGGCCAAGACGGGTGACAAAGTGACCACCACAAATTGGGCTCCCGGGTCGGGAGCTCACCGCATATTCCGCCAAATATCGAGCCAAAAAGTAGGGGATATTGCAACAAACCCCCGACTGTAAGATTGTCCACAAGAAGAATAGATTAATCTTGGTGACCTTGTCTCCTTGTTTTTTATGATGAATGGAGAATGTGATAAGCTTGTGAAACAAGCGATGAATGGGTGATTTGATGTTACTTTCCGGCGACACACCGGAGCTGAAAACTCCCGAAGCAATATGGGCCCAAAATTCGTGTCCCGACATTCCCTCGGAATAAGTACGGACAGCCTCCCGCAAGAATGTCGTAAACTCGGGAGTCATGGATTCATGAGCCTCATACAAGCCCATCCTCCAAGCAAATTCTACCAAGCCACATTCCCGGTACTCCCCGCCCAACCGGAAAACCAATGCATGCGTGAAGTTCGGGTCTTGAACATTCTCATGAAAAGTCACGGTAGAGAAGAATTCCACACAAAGCTCCTTGTATATTTTTTCTTGAATGGAAAATAAGTTGCTCCATCCCTTTCACATGAAAGAAATCCCGTTTTCCGCAAAAGTTTTAGTAAGAAATGGGTTTAACCGTTCAAGGAGTCCCACCTCCCTAAGTTTGTGCCAATTGATAGTTGGAGCAACCGCAAATTCCCTGTTGTAAAGCCAACCCAATCTGTTATTGTATCTCGTTAGCACATCCCGAGAGATGTTGGTTGTAAACACATATAACGGGTGCAAGTTAGCAATCCCGCTTTGAGCATCATGAACCTCTCGCCTTGGTGCCATTTTTCTGCAAAAACGAATAAACAAGAAAGACCAAACAAAGTGTTGAAAATGTGAGGCAATTTAACAGAAATAGCGTGGCTGAAACCCAGGACTCGCATCGTGAGTTTTGCGGACTCACCTCGTGAGTTCGTATTTCACAGAAAATTAAATCGGTCATGGCAGAATGAAAATCGGGCCTTAATCTATGTTGGGGTTTACTCATAAGTCATTTCTAAGCACACTTAAGCAACATGCAACAAAGGAATCGTACATTTAGGGTGATAATTTCGACATTCAAACAAACCACAAGCCCTAACCTCTAAATCAAACCAATTAGTCAAAATAAAACACTAAAAATAAGAGTTGTTTACCTTAAGTGGAAGATTACGTAAGCACAAAGGTTGTTTGTGGTGGATAATAGCCGAAATCGGATGTGGGGGGACCAAGAATCAGGTTCACTTCGTGAGTGTGATAAAGAAAATGAGGGTCAAAGTGTTTCTGAATCTTTTAATCGGTGGTCCCGTGATTTCAAAATTCACGTCGTGAGTCCGTATGGGCTTAACATTTGGGCCAGTTCAATTGAAAACAAGTTGGGCTGAGATAGTAAGAACACAAATAAGGCCCACCCGTATTTCATTATGTATTCACGTAGTGAGTTTAGGACTCACGTAGTGAGTTTTTGCTGGACATTAAATTAGGCCTAATTAACAATTCCATTTTATATTAAAAACCTTTAATTATTTTACCACTTAATTTTAAATTACCCCACATTTGATTTTTACTATTCATAAAATTATTAGATGATTAGATGACTAATTATCCTACAAAAAACTAAAAATGCAAAAACTAAACTAAAGGCATAAACGAAAAGAAAATTCAAACCGGGCTCGGGTTGCCTCCCGAGAAGCGCTTCTTTTTCTTGGAGTCATGAGTCTGACTCCGTGCCGTCTCACGTTGAATTATCCGGAGTGTCCATCACCATTTGAATCTTTTGCTCCTTCTATATCCTTTTGTACGCTTGGACTCGTCTAAAATACGCCTTTTTAGAGTTTTCTTTTTTAGCCTTCACTTCATTTACTTCAAGCTTGCGTTTGATCCTTTTATTTTCCAATTTTTCCTCATTCTTTAGCTCTACAAGAACCATCTTTTCATCCACAACTGAACTCGTTTCCTTAGAAGTAACATCGTCCTCGTCACTTGATAAATCTTCGCTTTCCTCACTCACCCAAGAAGTTGGATTCGTATAAGCAATTACCTCAAACACCAATGGAACGGATGCTCTTGGTTTGGTATGTTTGACTTATTGAATTATCTTCAGTTCTTCTTCCATAAGCTTCTCCAATTATTCAAGTTCATCTTCCTTATCAATGTTAAAGACTTCACCTTCAACATCACTTCCTTGGAAACGATCCTCTATTCCAAAAGTAGCTTCATCATCTCCCACTCTCAAGGTAAGCTTGGATTCGCGAATATCAACCAAGGCACTAGCAGTATTAAGTAGAGGGCGACCCAAGATGATTGGAACATCATGATCTTCTTTCATGTCCATAACCACAAAGTCAATTGGAAAAACAAATTTCCTAATTTTTACTAAAATACCTTCCACAATGCCCCTAGGATGTGTCACTGAACGGTTTGCCATGTGAATGGTCATTCTTGTAGCCTTTAACTTCGGAATATTGAACTTTTGATAAAATGAAAAAGGCAGTAAATTTATGCTAGCCCCAGAATCAGCTAAAGCATAAGTCTTTAAATTATTCCCAAATTCACACGGAAGAGTGAGTCGTCCAGGATCTCCCATCTTCTTTGGTAACTCCCCCAATACAACCTTTGAACTCTGCTCACTAAGAATAACCTTGGAATTTTTCTTCAAATGCTGGCGAGTATCTATCAAGTCTTGTAATAACTTTGCATATTCGGGAATTTTAGACAACGATTCAATAAAAGGAGTATTATTGGAATATCCTTTACTTGCTTCATAAATTCCAAATGCTCCTATTCCAGTGGATGACTATTAGCTCGGGACGGAAACGGTAAAGGAGGACGATAAGACGAAACTTTTGCTGCATGTTTCTGTTCAGACTCGCCCACGTTGTGAGCTTTGAGTGCTCACCTCGTGAGTTCGGTGTTTCAGCAAAAAAAAAATCTTTAATTTTTGACTTTTTCGGCTTTGGTTCGGACGGTTATGGCTCCACTTCTAGTGCTTCTAAGAACTCAGAAATAGCCTCTTCTTCAGTTTCAATTACCATTACATGTGACTGAGGCTTGTTATCGGGAATTGGGTTAGATATTCTTTCATTCACCAAATTAGTTAGTTGACCAAGTTGGGCTTCGATATTTTTAATTGATGCATGCTGATTTCTTAGCAATGCTTGCTGGTCCCTTATGAGTGCATCAGTGTCATCATGTCTTTTCTCGCAAGCCTCCATAAATCTATATAAAATAGACTCAATATCAACTTTCTTTTCAGGAGGTGGTTGTTCTTTTTGGTAGAAGCATCGGCCTGTCTGCCTATATTTTTCTTCTTTTTGCTTCTTGTACTCTTCATATGGTAACCACTCCTTCTTTGGTTTTCTCCAATCTTCATCATATTTATCCCCACTAGAATAGAAAACTTGAGCCTTTTTGTTTCCATGTTCATCCAAGTGGCATTCTTTCGTCAAGTGTGGACCATTGCATCTTTCACATCCAACCCTAATAGCATGAATTGACTGATCCAACTTTGTCATTCTTCTGTCCATGGTGTCAAACATAGCTAGTACAGCCTCCATGTCTTCATAATTTCCACCCGCAATGCCTTTTACTCCTTCATTTCTTGGATTGTGGTACTCACGAGAATGCTTTGCGAATTCTTCAACCAACTCCTTGACTTCGCCCGGATTTTTCTTAGTTAGTGGTCCTTGAGAATCAATGAGTTGCCTTGTCATGACATTCACACCATCATAAAATATTAAGAATTCTTGTTGTATGTTAAGGTCATTTTAAGGAAAATTTCTTAGCAACATTTTATAACGCTCCCATGCCTCATAAAGTGATTCACCCGGATTTTGCTCAAAGTTGGCTATTGCCTTCTTGAGTTTAGCTATTTTTGATGGTGGGCAGAATTGTTCTAGAAATTGCTCGCGCATCTGTGCCCAAATAGTGATTGCACCAGGTGGTAGTATTTATCACATAAGTACCTTTAGGCTTTAGCCAACCTAATTAATGTCACCAAGAGTTGCCCAAAATAAAATATCAATATCAAAGGATACGTACACAAAAAAAGCATGGATTTGTAGAATTTACATTTCTATTCAATTTTGTAACATTTTGATCCTCCAAAACTACAAATAAGAATTTAACAATAAAACTTTGGAAAGAATAATTTACATTTTTTTGGGAAGAAAACATAAGCTATTTTTAAATGTATGAAACTATGAATTCTTGCCAAACGTCTATTTGTCTGTGTTAGCATGGTCTACCGGCCGTACACTTGAGCATCCCTGCATAACGGGTGAGCCTACCCACGCATGACCCGTCCTTTGCTTGAACCATATAGTTTTTCAGTTTATGTGCTACTTCTGAATGGTCGCCTGATGGTACAAAAAAGGCTCCGTTAAGGAAAAGGTCATTCACTGTTCGCCACTTCCAATGTTTCCACACTTTTTGGGGAAAGTGATCCCGATGTGTAACCTGAAAAATAATGAAAAAACAGATTAATTACTAGAAAAAGGTGAAAAACTATCATAAAAACAAAAATATATACAAGGAAATGTATAGTACCTCCTTTGCATGGACATTATCGGATGCCCTAAATCTGTTGCCTTGACTAACAATAGTAGGGTTCATGCTTCCACCTATAGCGTACATTTCCCATTTGTTGTAATCGTTGTTTACAACGTGAAAGAATCCCCAACGACATCTAGGCATCCTTTGAACCAATCCTTTACCAAATCTGTTGAATGCGACTGTGACTTGCATAATCTCGTCTCCAGTAAAATTATCGTCCGCCCCCAACAACATCACCTATATATATTTTGTATGATACATTATATATACATGAGTACATGCCACAAGCATTGTTCTTTTTTTCTTTCCCCTTAAGTTTTGTCGAGATCATGATGTTTTAAAAAATATTCACGAAAATAACAACACATATGGAAAATCACATGGAAAATTTGTAAAAGTTTGGAACTTAATGGAGAAAGCTTCATTTCCATGACTTTCTCTATTAATTTGTTATTTATGCGTTAATTCAAGTAAAATCACTCATATATCGCTTATCGGATTAGGTGTTGTCCCCATTAAGTCCATGAAATTAAAAAGAAGAGAAAGTATGTTACGTCGTTGTGATAATTGAATTTGCAGTTGGAGATGGTTAAAGCGGTGCTAGCCATGATGGCGTCGATTAGACCGTCGGCGCAGTGATCGAGTGAGACATGATCGATCCACACCCTGCTAGCACCAAAAATGGAGATACCATCGCCATCACTAACCGTTCTTAATCCGAAGTGAGCTAAGGAATCCCTAATATACCCACCATTCTTAGACACAATATGGTGGATTCGGATCCCATGAATGATGACATTATGAACAAATTGAATGGTGAGCCCCGCGCCATAAGCAATGTGGACAATAACCCCTCTACCATCGATTGTCTTGTCGTGGTTTATCATAAGTTCTTCTTTAAGGGTAATAACCATAGGTCTTTCAAAGATAATCCAAAGCGGTTTATCTTGGATGACTCCATACCGAAGGGTTCCTTTCTTTGGAGTCAAAACATCATGATCGGAGGAATCCGTCACCACATAGTAGCGGCCACCCATGCCACCTGTGGTATGCTCTCCAAATCCACGCACACATTTTGCTAAATCCTGCCGGTTGTTCGCCCAATTCTTATTGCACCTCCAACATCTGTCTATCGGGTTTGTAGCCATGCATTTCTTGCCCTTTAGGTTCCTTCTTGTAGAATTTGTTCCTTCTAAAGACCTATGCATTCAAGATTCAACACATTAGTTAAAATTATACAAGGATCTCGATTGTTAGACACCATGACTACTCACTCGTGGACTAGTTTGTTGAAATTGTCGACCACCGATTCAGGGTCGGGATTATATGAATTTATGGCGGTCTTGGTTGCGTTTTGAACCTGCTCTTTAATGAAGCTGTCTAAATGTCCAATACCTATATTTTTCTTCATTGTCCCCGCTACAACGGTTGGGACAATGAGGACAAAAGCCAAGAAGAAGAAAGGCATAGAGTTGCATAAGGGAACCACTGGGGAAACCGAACCACAGTGATTCGCCTTCATGGCATCTTGTAAAATGTTGATCGGTCAAACTGAATATTCATTTATATGCGATGAGTATACGGACTACCATAAAATATGTCTTGAGAGATGAATATATGCCAAGAGAAAATGTAGGGTCAAACTGCGTTACTAAAATTAGGAAGATAGGCTCTTTCTGTTTCTCTTTAAAGCCACCTAAATTCGTTGATGTCGAATTAATTAGTGGTGGGTAAAGGATGTGTAAAAAATCAGAAAACATCCTCAAATAAAAGATAACCATGCAACGATATCATTTATAAAAATCCACGTCTGTAAATATAGAAAAAGCTCAGCTCGACTTTAAGCAAAAAAATAAAAGAAGAATAAAGAAAACTCAAACTAAAAGCCGTTTGTTATTACTTATTACTACGTCATTTATGTTATATTGTTTGTAGCTATCTATCTAGCTAATATCAAGAGAATCGTGATTTAAGTTATCGGGAAAACATATTTAGCTACCAAGATGACGAAAATCTAGGAAAAAAAACCCTACTCAAACCATTTCTTAATTATGGTTAAAACCAAAATGGGTATGATTTGGTTGCGGTTACAGGCCAATATTGGATGGAATTGGCTCATGTTTTTGAGAAGAGATGCACAACACAAAATGGTTTTTTGAGAAGAGGATGAAGAAAATTGGAACCGGTTTTTATAAAAAAATTAAGAATCGTTTTTTTTTTTTTAAATCGAACCGAGCCGGTTATAAAACGGAAAAAATCGATTTTTTAACAAAATTACACTTTAAAAAACCCGAAAAAACTAAACCAACACCGAATCTTATAGAAACTGATTTTTTTTAACTAGAACCAATTAAGACCGATGTTTGATGTTTGTGCACCTCTCCCCCGAGGTTGGGTAATGACTCCACATAAGTTTGGCTCAAAAGTAACTTTTTTTAGTAGTACTTAATTTAAATGGGTAGGCTCTAGGTGGATTCCATACAATAACTATTTTGTTATTTTTGATATATATTCAAAATGGTTCAACTTATTAAAAGAAAAAATTGTAATAAGGCTGGGGGGAGTGGTGTCGGTCCAACCGCGCTTCATCACGGCCTTCTCCATTTCTACCTCATTTTTCCGAACATAATGTCAAACAGAGGGAATGAAAGAAAGAAGAAGAGAGGAGGAAAAGATGTATGGGTGAGAAAGAAGATAGCTTGGCAGAAACATACCGAGTTAAGCCACCGAACTCGACATACCTAGTTTGTGGCACGGTGTGTGCCGAGTTAAGGTGGGGATGTGTCGAGCTCCTACCGGCCCTCACTACCCACTTCCTGTGGCCTAAGGAGTTAGAGATCTAAGAAAATAGATACATAAGGTGAGCAACAGATTTTGGAGCCACAAGGTTTATATGTACTTAAGTTTATTATTTTTATGCACTATTAGGTTTTTAAGAAAAAATTAGACAAAACTATAAATTTGGTCATTGTGGTTTGCAAAAACCTTTGGATGGGGTCCAAAAAGTTTTCAGCTTGCACCGAAGGTCCAAAATCAAGGTTTTTTATTGTTTTTGGTCCAAAAAAACTTGAAAAGTCGATTTTACCCTTTTCTATTTCTTTTTTCTATTTTCTTTATTTATTCTGGTATTTAAATAATTAAAAATAGAAAATAAAATAAACTCCCCCTCTCTCTCTCACATAGACACACACAAATAGATATTCAGATCGTCTTCATAGACACACACACAGCAGGGACAATCTTACAGCAGCCTTTGCTGCTTCATTCTTCTCCTTCCTCCATCTGTTTCCTCCCGATTTGTACTATTAAGCTTCTACCAACCTTATCCTCTCCGCCGGGAGAACACCTCCGTGACCATAGAAGCGTCTCCGACACTAGCACCTCCGACAAAATTAGACCTACCAGCGATCTCGTTGTTGTTTCCCCCCCCCCCCCCCCCTCAATTGTTTCTGACATATTTCACGCAGTCCACTTCAAAATCTTCAAACCACCCGGTGATGGCTGTGCAAGTTGTGCTGATATCGATCTCCATACTAAATAGATCTGAAGATGATAAGTCGATTATGTATGTAGAAATTGGGTCTGTGAAAGTGGTGCTGATATAGTGTGACAACCGTCAATTTTGGCCAAGTCAAAGTCAACTAAAGTCAACAAGTCAAACCGGTCAACTCATCTAACCCTTGTACACTAGGGTTTCCATTATGTTCCTTATTGAACAGCTCGCAATCTTAATACAAAGTATCACTTAGAGTTTTCACGTGTTCGGAAATTCTAAACCCTAATCAGGGCAAGTGATGAAACTACTCGATAAAACATTATTCCTTAACCCTCGGGGGCATATAACAATCATAACAAGACTTAACGAGGTTTACGAACCTTGAATTACAGAGCCAAACACTCAAAAAGGTCACAAAAGAAATCTCTCCAAGAATGTGAAATCTCTCCCAAATTTCTCTCTGTATGAGAAATCTCTCCAAGAATGTGAAATCTCTCCCAAATCTCTCTCTGTATGAGAAATCTCTCCCAAATCTCTCCAAGTATGTGAAATCTCTCCCAAATCTCTCTCTGTATGAGAAATCTCTCCAAGAATGTGAAATCTCTCCTAAATCTCTCTTTGTATGAGAAATCTCTCTAAGAATATGAAATCTCTCCCAAATCTCTCTCTGTAGGAGAAATCTCTCCAAGAATGTGAAATCTCTCCCAAATCTCTCTCTGTATGAGAAATCTCTCCAAGAATGTGAAATCTCTCCCAAATCTCTCTCTGTAGGAGAAATCTCTCCAAGAATATGAAATCTCTCCAAGTATGTCAAATCTCTCCCAAATCTCTCTCAAAACCTCTTTTGATCTTTTTGTAATCATTTGGGGTATCCCGACACTTGACTTGGTGAAAAACCATGCGAAACGGGAAGATACCTTGGAAAAATAGCCTCTTAGGGCCGAAGTCCCTCTATAGGGACCAAACCCTCCTTGAGCCGAAGCCCAAGAACCCAGACCGGAGTCTCCTTGAGTAGCCGCAGCCAGCTAGCCGCAGCCATCTAGCCGCAGCCAGCGAGCCACAGCCTCCGAACCGCAGTCATCAAACCTGGAGCACCGCATCCGAACTCGCCACCGGTCCTTCCTGACGAACCCGCCTGCGGTACCTGCTCGGACCGCAGTCCGTTTCCCTTCGGATCCACTTCAGCGGCCAACCCACACTTTGGACGTAAGGCTGTTAAGACCGGAATCACCCTCCTGACTTCGGATTTGCCACTTTCCACCCGGTTTTCGACCACGACTCCGTTTTAAGCCTGTTTTTAATTATTTTAACGATTGATTTTCACCCAAACTTATATTTTGACATATAAGACCCCATATATTCATAAATTCATCATATTTTTAGGGAAAACATTATTTAAGAATAAAATCTATTAAGTAAGATCTTGAGGCAGAGTGTTGACTTTACTTTAGTTTATGACACAAGCAACCACCCATACCCACTCCATGACCAGCCATTGTCCTCCCCACCATACCTAGTCACTTCCTTGTACTTTTCCATCAATCTCCAGCCATTCCCACGTCCTAAGAGCTGGACAACCCACCCTCTCTCCTCACACTTCCTTCATTCTCTCATTTTTCCTCAAAGGATCACACTCCAAATTCTGTCACCATTCTCTCTCAATTCCGAGACTTCCAAGGCTGATCATCAAGCTTTCTTCCACTCTTGGTAAGTATAATTCATTCTTCTTATGATTATTACACATCCTTCTACTCAAAATCATAGGAATCTTACACAAACATCGTCACCTTCATGATAGGTTCTCGATTCATCAAGGCATCTTCTAAGTGTTCTTGAGTTGAACACTTCTCTTCTCCAACATCCATCCTCTAAGAACACATAAGGTGAGTTCATACCCCTATCTTTTCATGTTTTTCTTAAGTTTTAGGGGGGGGGGGATACAAGTTAAAACACCAAGAACACAACTAAACTCATTTAACAGCCTTCATCAGAAAAGTTCAACTCCGTTCACGGACTGTTTTGGTCAACTTAAACATTTTAGTTTTCAAAACTGTATTAGGTGCAAATAGTTCAGGTTCATACCTTTAAAATGACTACTTGCACATTACCATACGATTTTTCTACGATTTATGGTGATTTTTACAAAATTGCCTATCATTTCAAAAACGAATTCGGACCAGTCTGTGAATATGAACATTTTAACACAAGTTAAAGACTTCCAAAAATCATAATAAAAATTATGAACAAACTAGACACATTTTATGAACTCTCAGAATTTACGGATTCAGTTTTTGACTTCGTATGATTTTTCTAAAACAGTGCAGAACGGTTAAAAACTAGTTAACAACTTATAACTTTCATAACACTTTGTAATATGTTGAGCAAAGTGTATAACCATAAGTTCTAAATATTGATTGTATTATATTGTTAGTTTATCATCTTAAACTGAAATTTAGTCATTCATGATAAGGTTTACTCATTCGTTTCGAACACATATAATAAACTTCAATAAGCATAGTTTATGGATTTTACTACACGGAAAAGGTTTTACTCTCAAAACAAATGGGTTTTTCATATCCTACGTGATAAACTATAATAGTAATAGTTTAAGGATTTCATATCACTATTTATTCAAAAAAGGTGATTTTTCTTCCTCCACGGAAGAGGTTTTAATATCAAACTATGTGTAAACTAGTTAACTTAGGTTGTGAGGCAATTCTCTCCCCGTACGTTCGAGTACGGGATCCCAATTCCTGTAAGTTATAACCAGAGTCTCTTGTAGGGAGAGCGTGATAATTGTGTATAGATCTATATTGGGTTTGACACCCCACACCTTGCTGCTAGCTACAGTGGGACCTGCAGGTCTACGGGTGACAAGAGTCATAGTATCTTAACGTCTGAAAAACATTGTGCAGGTTATTTCTCGTCACAGTATGGTTATAGCGACTCACATAGGTAGTTAACAATCTTTCAAGTTTACATGGAAAATTCTACTTTGAAAAAGGGTTTACCTCTAAATCAAACGAGTTTATGTCGATTTAAATTTGCATGAATCACTTTAAGTATGGAAAATATTTGTTTACTTTCGGTCCTAGGATTTACGACCACATAACTTTTATAAAGAAAATATAGGATTTTCTTTGGAAACATATTTCTGTTAAAACTACATTTCATCTAGAATTGTTAGATTTCAGCTATAATTGCTAAGTGTATATGCTAGAGTTATATAAGAATCTAGTCACAATCGACTTAGAATTGGTGGGCCCGCCTTATCTCATGTTTCTTGTTTGGTTGTGGACCTAGGGCAGACCCATTACATTCAACGGTTTATTTAACATAAATTTTATATAACTTATATACGCTGGGCGATTATAGGAGGAATCTACGGGTCGTTCTAGGGTTCATTATCGCATAACATAGGAGCATTCATCTCACACTTAACCAAGAAAATATTGGATTTTCTGGAAATCATACTCTATCGCTTTTACAAGGAAAACGGTTTCTTCCTCAAACAAAACTCTTATGAACTCACCAACTTAATTGTTGACACTTTTCAAAACTACTTGTATTCACAGGAAATCAGTGAAACAGGAAAACATCAGCACTTTGAGGATGGGACGTTAAAATCGTCAAACAGTTCATTTTGTCATCATAATGTAATTGATTTTGAAACATGTAAACATATACTACGGTGTAACCTTTTCAATTATATTTATGATGGTTGTATTTACTTTGAGCACTATTATACTCGTTGTTGTGATACTATACATGAAGTCCTCCACCCCCGGACGTTTCCGTCATCCTTGGTTTGGGGGTGTGACATATAGGTCTCCATATCAAACCATAAACCATCTCTTACCCGATTAATCACTTCTGAAACCCCTAGGGTTTCTGTCAACAAACAGGGTATTAATGGTCAGAGAACAAAAGCCCCTTGCTACAATCGAGATCCCCGAGGTGATTTGCGTTCAATCCCAAGGCCTCTGAGAATAATTGGAAAAGTATGCCTCCTATTTCATTACCTGATTTGATTACTCGCTTTGAATGTCTCTACAAACCTCCAACAATTGCATCACTTGATTTTGTGCGATGTTTATGGTGATTGGTAGAAGATGGGAGGGATTTGGCGGATTCCAGCATCAACGAGGCCCTTCACACCAGTTTTTGTTTGGTCGAAAACTTTGAGCTTTTATGGTCAATCTAGCTTGAGACTACTGAAGTAATGGTGGCAGCCATTTTTATGAAGACGATATGTATATCTATTTGTATGTGTGTCTATGTGAGAGAGGGGGGGGGGAGGGAGGGGTTGTGAGGTTTATTTTATTTTCTATTTTTAATTATTTAAATACCAAAATAAATAAAGAAAATAGAAAAAAGAAATAGAAAAGGGTAAAATCGACTTTTCAAGTTTTTTTGGACCAAAAATAATGAAAAACCTTGATTTTGGACCTGCGGTGCAAGCTAGAAACTTTTTGGACCCCATCCAAAGATTTTTGCAAACCACAAGGACCAAATTTGTAGTTTTGTCAAAAAAAATTACTATACTATCAAATAGTAGGTTTTATTTAATAAAATAATAATAATATTTAGGTAAAGATAATTAAATCCTTGTCTGCTTCCAAATCAATCTTGTAAATCATGAACACTAAGCAAAGGTGTCGCACCATCAAAAACCAATATTTACATGTGCGTCAATTTGGTGCACAAGAAACCATTTTTGGTTTAAATTTACCTTCTTTCCATCAAAAAATATAAACCTCTTACCTCCCCAACTCTTCTCGCCTAAAAGTCCTTATCTCCATATATTTATGGGGTTTATATAAAACCAATTATCATTGTTACTTGAAAATTACCGATCCACAAAATAACAATGTAAGAGGATTTCATAAAAAACCAAAATACAAACAAGAAGAAACAAAAAAAGATTGCCCAAAATGAGTCCACTTACCCGTGTTTGTGTTCTTTCGATCAACATGTGCTTTTTGATTATTATCCCATTTATCCTGGCAGGAAAAGATCAAAATCCAATGCGCATTGGAGAACTTGACGATTTTTTGAAAGAGCGGGCAAACAAAGCTGTGATCGAGGCCATGAGATCGTATGAGCCAGATCCTGAGGAAGTTACCAAAACGTTCGCCATAGAAGTTACCCAGTGGGTAAAACTGTCTTTTTTATTTCGCACAGTTGCTTTGCATATAATCTGATAGTAATGTTATATCTCGTAAAAGAAATAACACGTGGTTAAGATTTTAATTTGTACATGGAGGGTGGTTAGATTTTCATCTTAGTGTCAATATTTTAGGAGAATATACCCATGATGATTTGTGTAGGTTAATCTTCCATGCATGGCATGATATTTTATTGATTATATATTCATCTTGACATTATATCTGATGATTATTGTAATTGTAAAGGTCTTTGCAAGGTGAAAAACCTTCCAGAAAGCAACTAAGAGATCCAAGCAAAGAACCGTTGCAGCCAAACAAAGGACCAAGCAATGAACCGTTGCAACCAAACAAAGAACCAAGCAAAGAACCATTGCAACCTAACAAACAACCAAGCATCGGAACATAAACAAGAACCTTCATGGAGAAGTTTGTCAATGTATTAATTCGACGTGGCATTTGGCTTATATTACCAATTTTCAGTGCTGCAGAATTTAGAATTAGAAAATTTTCAATTGGTATCGTATTCGACAACTTATTGTATAGTTATAGATAACTAAGTTAGATTTAATAGGGTTTTTTGCTAGTAGATTTATAAGTTTATTATTTGGTACACGAAATGTTGCAACAAGTTTTTACCATACATACTTAAAAACAATGATTTATGCGGTTTAATCTAAGGGGGGTGTTTGGGTTGCATAAAATATTATATGTTTTTATATAAAATATTATATGTTTTTATATGATTTCTAATCGAATTTTAAAGAAACGTGTTTTGATCGATTTATACGTTGAAAGCTTCATGTAAAGATAAACATAAGTTTGATTCATATTGATTCTCCTATATCTTGTATTTTATTTTGTAGTTATCTTTTTCGTGTTATAGGATTGTTTCGTATTTTTCCATGTAATCTTGTGTATGAATAGGGCTTCTTGTCCAATATATATATATATATATATATATATATATATATATATATATATATATATATATATATACACTAAACATTAGAAATATAACTCTCTCTTTCACATGGTATCAAAGCAATATCGAAAGTAGAGATTTTATCGAATTACCTCCTTACTCCTGAAAACCCCTCATCATGAGCGAAAAACAAAAACCCTCCTGTCATTGTGCAAAATGTACAAGATGCACCGTGTAACATCCCAAAAATCACAATAGATTTTAATTTTTCAAAACCAACCAAAAGCTATCATTGTTTACAAAACCAGTGTTTCAAAAGTGTTTATCAAATATCAGAGTATCCCAAAATCCACATAACAAAAATCTGAAGGAATGTGCACGATCACACATTCGCCTTTCCACGATCCTCTGAAGTACCTGAAACCAAACTAAAACTATAAGTCAATGCTTAGCGAGTTCCCCCAAAGTACCACTACATAACCAAAGCAAACAAATAGATAACTTGTCTACAACCTCCTGGTTAGATTAACCCTGGCCCACAACCTTACGGTTGGAATGCCCCGGCCCACAACCTTACGGTTAGAATGCCCAATACATAACGGGTCCACAACGTCCTGGTTTGATTACCCCCGACCCACAACCTTATGGTTGGAATGCCCCGGCCCACAACCTTTCGGTTGGAATGTCACGGTTTGTTGACTTACAACACAAAGCAGTACAATCTCAACCCCACCATACCATGTCGACATGCATATAATAAATAACATATATCCAACCATAAGTAATCATATAACCAATTAACAGACTATCAGGCAGATCTATCGGTTACTACTGTATAGCAATATCCTAAATATCGGGATACATAACCAAAAGGGCCGACATTGGTGCCTTCGACCCCCAAGAGCAGTGAGGAAACTCACATCACAATCTGAACAATATTTGATAAGGTCTCAACTCTGAATCTCAGCTCTACCCGTCACCTATCCATCAAAAGTGACCAATTCTCAAACACAACCCACAATACCCTTAGGTCAAACTTAGTCAAAGTCAACAGTCCTTAATCTCAAATATCCTACCTCACGTCGTGACCAGACCTTAGTCACGTAGTGATAGTCCACTCGGTTCGATTCCAACTCGACTCGACCCAACCTAGCCAACTCAGTCAAGGAAATCACCTGAGCTGACATCACGACGTGAGCACCCACTCTTACGTCGTGAGGTTCAAGGAACTTAACAGAAAACGGGGAGTTATTCAAATCTCACGTCGTGAGCACAGTCTGAAGCTAAAAGTCGCCATTTTAAGTCCTTATTCCATTAATTCCTCTAATCCATCTCATACAGAAGTTAAAGGGGACTCCTATAGTCCATAAAAATGCTTCATTTATGGCCATGCTTGCACCATGCATGATCCAACCCATTCTAGGTCAAAAATGAAGAAATATGCTTCCAACTTTCATGCATGTCTCTTATACCTCACCAACAACCAGATCTAAACAATATGATGATCAAGGAACTCTTAGAATCCATAAAGTTGCTAACTTTATGGATTTACTTCACTCAAGCATGCTAAACATGAAGAAAGGTGGACAAAATCCTAGATCTACCCATTAAATGTAATAAAGTTTGGATCTTTGATACTTATAAAGGTCCAACAGCAAGAAGAGGTGATGATAATGTTGCTATTTGTCCACTCCACCACTAGATTACTCCTTTTCTTTTCTTCTCTCCTTCTTCAATCTAGAAATGGCACCAAAATGGTTAAGAACTTCAAGTATGATAAATCTCAGGGTTCTTTAGGGCTTAGAGTGTGAGGGAAGCGGAGGGTGAACAACCCTAGCCCTATTTTTCCTTTAAATACCAAAAATTAGAGTTTTTGGTCCTCAGACTGCTCTCACATCATGAGCATTGGATTGCTCAAGTCGTGAGCCTCAAAATGACGCGCATGTCCAATTTACTCCTCACGACGTGAGCAAGCATTCCTCACGTCGTGAGAAGGGCCAAAATTGAAAACTTTAACTCAATATTAATAATAATGTGCACTTGACCCGAGTGTTACAATTCTCCCCCACTTGAATTAGACTTCGTCCTCGAAGTCGACCGTCACGAACAACTCAGGATAATGATCCCGCATCTCCGCCTCCGGGTCCTAGGATAATGATCCCTATGGTTGCTACTTGAAAAAACCAAAATACCCTTACACTAACGGATGAAAAGTGACAGAGTCAGCAAAAAAGGCCATTCATGCAAGTTTTGGAAACCACAAGGACCATGTTCTTCAAAAAAATTAGCAGGCACTGACTTTGTGACTTTTGGCAAACCATAGTGACCATTTTTGTAATTTTGTCTTTAATAAATAAAAATGAAAATTTATGTTGAAAACCAGGACGTTACACATTGTGAATTTATTTATGTGGACATATACAAAGTGGATCATACTGCAAAATTTTGTGTTTTTCAAAGCAATGGATGGTCTTTTATAATTTAAAATCACATAAAACCGATCATTAACAGTTTTGTAGTGTCTTGCACATCAAAATTGTTCATATCAAAAGTTTTGCACTGGCTTGTACTGCAAAATTGTTATAATTTATACATTCAGATCTATCGGTTATAATTTAAATAACTATATATTTTCATCAACATTTATATGATTTTCTCACAAACAAACAAACCAAAAATCACAAAAAGCAACATGCCTTGTGAAACTATACATTTTCAAAGATCAAAAAGCACAACAAAATTGTTATATCCTTGAAATAACAATTTGAACAAACTATATTATGCCAGAAACTTTAAAACATTGCAAGAGAATTTTAGATCCTTACTTGCCACAGAGATGGTGATGCATACTGATGTTCTCTACTATGAACACGTAAAATTATGAAAAAAATCCTTGCTTTTGTCTTTTTGACAGATGACATTAGTTCGCACCCTCCTTTCTCATGCCTCTTTGCCCACCTCCTTTTGGCACCATGCCCTTCAAATGGCCACATACATTCTCAACATACTTCCACACAAAACTAAACACTACTCCACCCCTACTTTTCTTCTTTTTCGCAAACACCCCACATACAATCACCTTAAAGTCTTCGGCTGCTTATGCTTCCCTTTGACACCTTCCACTTCCATCAACAAACTTCAAAACCGGTCCTCCCCCTGTGTGTTTCTCGGATACCCCTCCAATCATAGGGGGTACAAATGCTATGATCTTTCTTCCCGTAAAATCATTATCTCTCGACATATCATTTTTGACGAACATGTCTTCCCATTCGCCAAACTTCATTCGTCTCCAACAACATACAACTTTCTCCATTCTGACTTACATCCTACTGTCTGGGATTCAGTTTCTTATCCCACCGCCCAAACTACATCGTCCCCTCCTACTCTTCCTCACACCTCTCCTTACAGCAGCCCACCACCCTCTTCCTCCAAACCTACAACCCCACCTCCTTCCACCACAGTCGGTGCATCACCCTTACTCCACACCTACTCACGACGCCGACCATATCACACTCAGTCGACTACTACCCAAACACATGTCGAGCCTTCTCCTGCCTCCCCTCCTCCTCTACCCACTCGCACCATGACCACCCGCAGCATGTCTGGGATCACCAAAACAAAACAACCCACTTCTCTTCACACCTCCACTACCACCGCCATAGCTCTCTTACCCCGCAATCCAACCGAAGCCATGTCCGTACCGGAATGGAACCATGCCATGACTGACGAGTTTAACGCTCTTATCGATAATAATACTTGGGATTTGGTACCTCGGCGTCCAAATATGAATATTATTCGCTGCATGTGGATTTTTAAGCACAAAACTAAAGCTGGTGGATCACTAGAGCGCTACAAAGCGCGTTTGGTTTGTGATGGCAGGTCACAACAAGTGGGGATTGATTGCGATGAAACTTTTAGTCCGGTAGTAAAACCGGCTTCCATTCGCACGGTGCTTAGCATTGCTTTACATAAACGGTGGGTCATAAACCAACTCGATGTAAAGAATGCATTTCTTCACGGACACCTTTCTGAGATAGTTTTCATGCACCAACCTCTTGGGTTTCGGGACTCTACGCACCCTAATCATGTTTGCAGGTTGAAGCGCTCACTTTACGGTCTAAAACAAGCACCCCGTGCGTGGTACCAGCCCTTCACTGACTATGTTACTACTATTGGTTTTCAACATAGCACATGCAATCACTCCCTCTTTATTTACCGCCACGACCCGGATACATCATACCTTCTCCTTTATGTGGACGATATCATCTTCACCGCCTCTTCTACGTTATTGTACACCCGGCTATTTTCATGTCTGTCATCTGAGTTCGCTATGAAAGACCTCGGGCCCTTACACTATTTTCTTGGCATTTCTGTCAAACGAGACGTTGCCGGCACGTTCCTCTCTCAGGAAAAATATGCCTCGGATATCATTTCCAAGGCCAAAATGGAGAACTGCAATCCAGTACAAACCCCGGTCAATATAGCAGGAAAACTAAGCAATGACGCAGACAGTCTTATCGATAATCCCTCCACCTATCGTAGCCTTGCTGGGGCTCTTCAATACCTGACTTTCACCAGGCTCGACATTTCTTATGCTGTCCAGCAAGTGTGCATGCACATGCACGCCCCAAAACATGCTCATTGGGATGCTCTCAAATGTATTATCCGTTATGTTAAAGGCACCGTTCGCATGGGCTTACACATGTCTACGAGCTCCCCAGCCAACCTCGTCTCCTACACCGATGCAGACTGGGCAGGTTGCCCAGACACCAGGCGCTCCACTTCTGGCTATTGCGTTTATTTAGGGAACAACTTGGTCTCCTGGTCTTCCAAACGCCAAACAACTATCTCTCGCTCCAGTGCCGAGGCAGAATACCGAGGGGTCGCTAATGTCGTAGCTGAAATCTGTTGGCTGCGTAACCTATTACTTGAGCTTGGTATGCCACCAAAACACACGTCACTGGTTTATTGTGACAATGTCAGCGCCATTTATCTCTCTCAAAACCCGATTCAACATCAACGTACAAAGCACATTGAAATCGACATTCATTTCGTTCGTGAAAAAGTGCAACGTGGCCAGATTCGGGTGTTACATGTGCCCTCCCGGTACCAGTTCGCTGACATCTTCACGAAGGGCCTCCCACGAGTTTTGTTTAACGATTTCCGGTCCAGTCTAAGCATCGTGAACCTCCACCTTAGACTGAGGGGGTATATTAGACTAGTCTGTTTTTGTAATTATGTTATATTATGAGGTGGTCAAATGTAATGTTGGTTTTGTATATATATATATATACACCGATATCAATGAGAGGGGGATTGATTTTGGCCTTATCACATATTCTATTACAGTATGCAAAAATAAGTCCGCAAAAGCTCATTGGCGGACTCATTGATCACTTTTGGAAAAGTTTGTCTTTTTGGTCATTTTTTGGAACTTGGGTGTGCCATTTAGTTATTTTTGGTAAAATCTATATTTTAGTATGAGAGTATACTAATTATCGTATTTATTTGGTATCATAGTATTTAAATATTTATGAAATGATATAGAAATACAAAATAAATAAATAATAATATCTTATATATTGATATGATTAATTATTCATTAAACTTTAAAATGTTTAATGGATTGGACATGCCATAAATCTAGAACCTGTGTTGACCATTAGATAAGTAACTACAATTATTAGTATATAGAAATGTATAAATACATAATTCTCCCTTCTTGTAACAACACTAGTGTCCTATACCCAGAATCTCCTTATCTTTTTGTCACATATGTTGTATATACTTAAGCAAAAACATGTGTTTACATATTAATAACCATGAGTTTATAAAGCTTCCCAGACCTTGTAATCATTGCCCTCAGCAGCCAAACACCAATTGTGGGGCCCAGATTGCTGTGGTTCAAAGTGGCCTGGTCCAATCTTCATTGCTATTTTTTCATCAATAATTGCTGCATAAACATCTCCTTCTGCCTTGCTAATTTCAACCTACATCACAAATATATGTTATACTCCAAATCTTCATTCCATTCCACCAGGCATAACAAAACAAAAGCAAACAGTTCTTTTTTATTCATTCCAATGGAATCAACCATTCCATTCCAATCATACCATGCTACGACAATGAATTTTGTTGCGATTCCTGATAGAGATGAGTGTAGATATTTGGGAGTTGTAGTGAGAGAAAATATGATCATAGAAAACCGATGGTGTTCCAGGATGAGTCAAGATGTATGCATACCCTTGCATCTCCTTTCCACCTGGAAATCTCCAATGACCCTTTTACACAAAAACATCAACATATATTATTACTCATATTGCTTTAAAAAAAAAAGTACATTTTTATTTTCCATAATTTATTTAAATTAATACCTGTGTAGAACCGGTATCATGATTTTCTATGAAGGTAACAGCACGAGAAGGCCACCACCCAACGACACCTGGCGGTTTTCCTTTGGAATCAGATAATCTCCAATATTCACATCTTTCAAGTGCCTATATTTGTATAAATATTATGATATGTTATATAAATAGTATTATATGATGAAAATGAAAATACATACGGAATGGAGAATTCCTTTTGTAGTGACATCAAAGGCTCCAGCAGTTCCATTAGTGGCATTAATCCAATCAACAATCCTTTGTCTATGGCTATCTTGATTGTAATCCATTTCACCATATGTATAATTTAAAGAATCCCAATATTCTCCAACAGCAAAATAAGGTTCACTTGCATCCATGTAATCTTTTACATAACCTCCCCAAAATCCCCTCACAAAATCAAGCCTCCATCCATCATACCCTATTTCCTTCCTGTAAATATCAACATTCATTAAACACTTACAAAAACAAAATCTTTAAAAAATATATATAACACTAACTAACCTCAGCCAACATAACCATTCTTTAAGATCTTTCCTTACAAACTCTTGTGAATGATCAATATTTGGAGCAGCATGGAAATTATCTCCACTGCTCTTATTTCCTCGACCCTACAAGTTCAAATTATTACAAAAATATAATATGTAAATTTCAAGATTTAAAGATATACACAAAAACTACTAAAAGCATTATATTTTATACCTGGAAATGAGGATCATCACCAACAACTGCACTATCATCCCAATCCAAACGACCACCAAAAATATTCCAAACACCATTTTGATTCTGGGAATGTGCACAACGATGATTTATAACAGCATCACCTAAAGCTCTGATACCAACTTCATGGAATTTATTCACAAGAGCCTTTAATTCCTCAATGTTTCCATACCTGATCAATCCATCAAAGTTATATGACTAAAAAGTAATTAAATTTAAACCTCTTCTTTTTTTGACAAAAATGTTTTGAAAGTATATATACCTGGAGTTCAAAATTATAAAGATCTTTGGGCATGTAGCCTTGAGGGGAGATAGATTCTGTAGGTGGAGGTAGCCAAACAATGGTAAACCCTAGTGATGACAGCTCAGCAGCTTTATCTTGTAGTTCTGAATACCAACTTGTGGATTTGTGGGATTCCCAATTGAATCCCTGGCATAAAATTTCAAAACCTGAACCTGTTCCTGAACTTATTTTCAAATCGGGTTCTGCTTCTTTGGATTCCGATTCCGATTCCGATCCTGATTCCGATTCCGGTTTCTTTGTAAAAGATGGAATGGAACTTCTGAAAATGCTGTAGGCTTCTGCAGCTAACTTTTCAATCTCACGAAGAATGTTTTCTTGTGTTTCTTTGCTTTTTGTTTTTCGTTTCTTTTCAGAGGAAATGCCAATCACCAGGTGTCTTATTTCATTGATTAATTCATCTGTATTTGTGGAAACATCTTGTGAAGAATCTATTTTCATACTCTTGGACACATTTTCTTCTCCCATACGTTCTAGTTTCTTAAAGTTTGTTTCATTTGACATGGGTATGTAAAAATCATCTCCCATACAGTTTACCCATGTGTTATTGTTTACTTTTAACACAAAAAGAAATCCTTCAATTCCTGCATCTAGTGGAAATAATCCAGAACACCCACATCCACCTTCTTTTTTCTGTAAACAACATATAGCAATTAACATTGTGTATTTGAAAACAATGCAAGTATGAATGACATGAGTATATATATATATATATATATATATATATAATATATATATATATATATATATATATATTTATATACCTGCAATTGAGTCTGCAAAGCCTTGTTCTTAAATATTGATGTTTTATCTGGATAGGGTCCAGTTGGAATTTCCCATTTTTTACTCTCATCTTTGCATACACCCCAATGAACAACAACATCACCAGGAATATCAGTTTCTATATGCAGAAGATTATTAACAAATTCAGGACATCTCTTTTTGCAAACACTCATGGAGTTATCAACCATTGATTGTTTTACAATGTCATATTCCTCATAAAAAAGGTTCCCCTTCTGGGTAGATTCTTTTGAATTGCCACCATCAGATTTCTGCAACATGTTAGATAAGTGTCCCAGAGTCCCTGGTTAGATTAAAATAGTTCAGTGAGTCAGCTTGTTGGAAGTAATAAATGTGGAAATAAAAGAAAATGAGAAAAAAAAAAAAAAAAAAAGATCAGCTTTAAGATCAATGTTGGCATTGAATAAAAATGTTTCACAACCTGGCCATATGGCAAAATCTTGTTTAGTTCCTACAGTATTGCCATCATCATTAGATATATTTGTAAGAGGCACCTTAAAATCTGACCCTTTGTGTTGATACCAAGATCCAGTTTCTTCATCCTGAATCATTATACATTTCCCAACCACATGGAAAAATCAGATATTTATATAACAAATGAAATTAATAACAAATAGAAACTAAAAGTAATACCCTTAATACAAAATTTATTGCTGAAATTGAACTTCTGGTGTTGAAATCAATCTTCACTTCATATATGAACCCTGCTTCCTTCTCCACTGATTTTTCCAAAGGGGTCTCAATTGCATATTCCTAAAAAGATTGGGTGCAACATATAATATGAGCATGTGACCGATAATGAATGGAAGAAATCATCAATACCTTAATGGGAATGGAGCCTAGAGGTCTCATCTCAACAGGAGGCTGATCCCAATCACTGCAGACATTGAATTATAAAAATGATCATGATCTTGATAATGAGAGAGATTCTTATCTTAGTTTCTATTTGGGAATATGTTGAAGGTAATGGAATTCACAATCAAAGCCAAAAAGTTGCAAGAAGAAAGAACCGCACTACATGGTGAAGCAAACCTGCCAATGTCGTTAACATAATTAATTCCCCAATGAAGAATCCATTTCCCTGGAAGATTGCATCCAACAACAAGCTGCAAATTCTCTTCATCTTTTCCACAATCTAATCTGACTAATATCTTTCCTTCGACCTGTATATGATATAGAACACTTAACACTAACAAATGGTGATCATTTTAATATGTTTTCTATTCGGTTCAATTTATTTGATAATATTGTAAATTCTCTGTACTTGCAGTTTATGCAACAATTCATTCCATGCACCTCGGAAACATAAAATAAAACTACTTCCAGTGCATCGAAAAGCACGATGCAAATTTCATGGATCTCAACTTTGATTCAACAAAAGAGCAAGAAGATATATTTATATAGCCCGAGTAATTCACTAACCTTTTCGATACATTGCAATGGAAATGTTTTGTGGAAGATGACATTATCGGAGTTGGATGTGTTGGAAAGAGATAATTCAGCAACCGAGCTATTAGAAGAAGCTCTAACGGTAGTTTTCATAAACCCTAGAACTAACAGGCCTGAAGTTGCAGCGTTTGGCGCCATTTCCGATCAAACAATTCCTTGTCTTCCAAGTGTAATTCAGGGAAGATTGCTTATGCTTTTCAGATTCCATTGGAGACTTTGAGGTTTCCCGCCAGTGATGATGATGGAGGATAGGCTCGAGAGGAACCGTCGCCATGATCGGAGAGGAAATCTATAGAGAAAGGAGAGGGGTTTGATTTGCGTTGCAGGTAGTTTTATGATTAAAATCGTTCTGTTAATATCACTGCAGAACTTACACTCTGCACCCCTAACTTTTAAGGTTTTACACCATGACTCCCTAAAGAATAAAGAGCACTAACAATAGTATAGTTAAGTTTTCTCGGATAGCCAAGCACAAACTCATGTATCCAAAGCTTAGAATACATTAACTGTGAGTCTGTGACTCATTAATTTTATTTATGTCGAGTTATTGTTTTTTATATAAATAGTCTATTTAACAATTCATTGAATATTTGTGGGATCCACTGCAATAGTGATCGAAGTTTTTTATATAAAGAGCTTGTAAATTTACATGTCTTGTTGAAA